TGTGCAGGACATGGGCATGGGGTGACCCTGCTGCACAGACGAGGTGGGTGAAGGGTGCAGGCACATGGACAGCCCCGTGTCCTCCCCAGCAGACAGTGACATGGGTGCAGGACACGGTCACACGGGTGCTCCAGCACGGGCACAAGGTAGGTGCTGGAAACAGGCGCAGAGACACTCCTGCCATGGGGACGGTAAGGTGGATTGAGGGCACAGGCATGTGGATGCTCCACCGTGGGGACAAGGTGAGTGCAGGGTACAGGCACAGAATGCCCCGTAATGGGGACAACTCCATGAAGGACATGGGCACGAGGATCCCAGTGACACAATGACGAGGTGGGCAAAGGGTATGACCGTGGCTGCTCCACTGTGCAGGTGGCAAGGTGGGTGCAGGGTGCACAGGGATGGGGGTGCTGACCACGAGCCTACAGGTGAGGTAAGTGCAGGATGTGGGCACAGGGCTGCCCAGCTTTCACAGGGAGTGCAGGACAGAGGGAAAGGGGGGCACATCTGGAGCAGCAGTGCAAGATGCAGGCGTGCTCTGGTGATGCCAACAGCAAGGTGGGTGCAGGATGTGGGCACAGGGGTGCCCATCATGACCTGGGTGGCACAGGGGGTGCAGCATAAGGGCGGAGGGATGGTACCATGAAGGCAGGATACATGCAGGGCAATGCCCAGCTGGCACAGAGTGCTGGACACCAGTGAAGGGATGCACAGCTGGTCAGTGAGTGTGAGATATGGAGAAAGGGATGCGCACCTCCCACAGTGAGAGTGGGTTGCAGGCAGGGGGATGCTAGGGATGATGGATGTTTGGGATGCTGGCTGCAGGATGGTCAGGATGAAAGCTGAGGAATGCTTGGGATGCATGTGATGGTATGGTTGGGATGCAGGCACAGGGATGGTCTGGATGCAAGCTGAGATACTCAGGGATGCAGGCAGCAGGATAGTTGGGACACAGGCACAGGGATGGTCTGGATGCAGGCTGAGGGATGCTCATGGATGCAGGCAGGATGGTTGGGATGCAGACACGAGGGTGTTCAGGATGTGGGCAGTGATGTTCTCAGATGCATGGTGAGTGCAGCCCCTGGGCACTGGGATGCAGGACATGGGCGCTGCCCCCCAGCCCAGCCTCTCACTCCGTCTTTCCCCACTGCTCTGTCCCCCCTTCTCCCCTTTTCTCCCCCCTCCATGTCTGTGAATTAAACCATTTGGCTTTGCTGGACTAATGACTCTCTGCTTCTCTTCCCCCTTCTGCCCTTCCCAAATCCGGTCTGGGTCTCTCCTTGCCCCTGTCCACGTGCTGCTCGCTTCGTTGTCCCCCCTCGTTGTTCCTCCTCTGGGCTCTCGCTTCCCCCCCGCCTCTGTCTCTCCCCCTTCTCCTGTAGGAGCCTCAAACTACTG